TTTACATTAATTTAGCAAAGTATACGCAATTAAATGCTACTTGATGTGTGTTTGCAGAATGAAATGAAAAAAAAAAACATTTATTGTTAAGTGTTACTATCCCCTTTCAATCATAATGTTATGTTGCCAGCATAAAATCTTAACGTTACGTGAATAAAAAGCCTTAAAACTAGCTATATCACTTTAACAATATTAATGTAGAATACAAATGGCAAATTAGACTTAATAAAAAACCTTTTAAAATTTTAAATTGTTTATCTGAACATAATGTAACGCCGTCTGACATTTATAAAGTGCGCAAAACACATAATCTAAATAAATACATAGAGTGTTCAAAATAACCTCTCGCCGCTTCCGGAATGGTCGGAAATTCCAAGCATATTGTTGCTCATCACTTCTCATACTAATTTATCTCCACGAATGTTACGTACATTGTTTTATAATTTGACCTTAAACACAGACACAGTTTACGACACAGTGTTTTGAGACACTTTAATGAATTTGACAAAATACAATATCCATAATTGAACGACGCTAACTCTGCCAAGTTCAAAGGATTTGCCTTAATCATCGCAGGAATGGCCGTAAAAACAAAAAGAACTCACTTAAATCGGTTATAATCAGTACTGTGTGCGTATTTCTCCGCATAAAGAATACACTGATCCTTTATTACGACCAATTATTATTTTATTTTTACTTGGTTTAATTTTTGTGTTATTTTGTGCAGAAGAAATATTTTTCTTAAAAAATTGTATTCACTACATTTACTACATAACTTTGTATTGCGCCAATTTTATTTAACCACAGACGTTTTTAAAGTAATACCAATAAATTCTAATTTATATATATTTTTTATTCTATTTAGACAAATCCCAGTGGGTTTTCTAACGACATCCTATTGAAATATAAAAGATACTTCGATCCTTTCACCACACGGAGCATATACATCTAAAACCAATTTCCCTTCAAACACTATAAAAAGAATCTCAACTTGTAAATGCATCAAATGTTATATATATTTTGTCTTGCATCTTTACTTTCATTTCTTCGTCGATCACTCGTATGGTCGCAATTAATTTGAATGCGATAGCGGAATAAGCGAGTGTTATTCGCTTGTGAAATTTAAAGAATGGAGAGGAGGAAAATGCATTGTGAAGAAGTACGTGCAATTGAATATTTATTATGGTCCCGGACAAATAGTGGGCTTCAATGCGATTATTTGCTCTCCGTTTCACAAGGCGAGAGTCGGAATTTGTATGCGGACGCGTGAACAAGATAGCCGCCTGGGAGCACGATACAATTGTAATTTCAAATAGAACGTCAATGCTTTGACTACGTTTTGTGATATTTTCCACTAGACAAATAACTTCTATTTTAAACAACCATTTTAACAAAACGAAGTGAGAAATCTGCCTTGAAAGCACAACTCATTAATTTCAACCTCTTAATAGTGTTGTTTGTATTGTTCGATCTATATTTAGAATTTTTCCCCCCCACACTTAACCACACGTATGTACTGATAAACTTTATAAGGAATCAGCAATCGATAATATTATATGTAACTAATAACACAAAATCATCTATTAAGAAATAAGACCAATGTTGCATTATTATATATTTAACGGTTTAGTGGCAATTGGTGGTTATTCTTCTAGAAATATATAAATTTTGTTCAACCAGAATTCTTGACTAAGGAGGACTAAGGCATCACATTATTATATATAATTGTATACATTATATTGCGTGTTTGGTGATGATTGTGTCATATTACTATTTAAATAATAACACATATACACAGTTATCATAATTATATTATTTATATGACACTGCAATAAAATTATTATAGCCTATCAATGTAATAAAACATAGTCTAAAGTAGTTTTCATTTTAATGCCTTAGTAGGCAGTGAGCTGGTTACGATTTACATGGTATGCTTCAAAGTGTGAACATATTCTCCAACGTTATAGGTACTGATCACGCGAATGTAAAATTCGAAACGTTCAATTTTAATGTGGATATTATGCGGTTAACGTCATTAGAAACACCACACATTAGTGTCTCTTCTTTTAAACAAGATACAATTGAGACAAAATAATTGGGTTTTAAAAAGTTTATTGTTTATAGTTTTAAAAATACCTATGAAAATAAAATCGTGTCGCAGATAAAACACATGTTTCGCAGAAGACAAATTCACGAAAAGTAATACTCTTTGATTATAGTATACTAGCGACCCGCCCCGGCTTCGCACGGGTGTAATGTATTATATATATAAACCTTCCTCATGAATCTATCTAGTAAAGAAACCGTATCAAGATCCGTTGCGTAGTTTTAAAGATCTAAGCATAAATAGGGACAGAAAGACAGGGGACGACTTTGTTTTATAATATGTAGTGGTGATAATCAAGAGAAATACTATATTTGACAATCGTATTAAACTCTTAAATATAACACGTGCTCAGCGGGATTTTTGTTCAGCAGGAATTTGCATGCATGACGTTCTTAACTGTACTGCAGTTGACACATTCACGTACTTCTAATCATAAACGCCGATGACGAATGATAAGAGTGGGCGGCCGGGGCATGTAGGTAGGGCCCCCCGGGCTACCCGTTCGTAGCCACTTGACGGTGGAAGATTGCATCATGGAATGGTCAAGAGCTTGCATGTGCTACTGCTATTTAATCATAACCGTACCGCGCATTATTTAATATCTGTTGGGTATAATCAACGCCACGCGTAGTTTTACGCACGTCATAGTGTTGACTCATTTAATTTTTAGTTTAAGTGAATCTGTACATTTTGCCTCAATTAATTACATTGCCAATGAACCTAAGCCGTATAAATCAAATGACATGTACATTATCGCTTACCATATCGTAGAATATCTGGCACAAAACAAATTTGAAGATTACAAAAAAATGAAACAGGAAACTGGCGCAAGAAGATTCAAACTTGCGGCTTTAGATTGCGTGTTGACCTTCCAATAGTTGTAACAATATAACAATACAAACGTACTATACGTGTGCATTAGTCTCATTTTTGGATACAATTATCCCTAACAATTTAAGTTAACCTTTATTGTCTACGTATTTCATTTGTCCGAACTTTTATATAATTAAAGGCATTACACAAAAAAAAATAATAGACTTATTTGCATGAGCCACACCTTTCTATTAAAAAAAAATTTTCCGCATTCTTTAAATTTATGCGACACGTCCTTTTCATGAACGAGACCGTTTCAAATAATAAATCCTTAAATAAACGTACCTTTCAAAACTTGGAAAGTGTAAGCTGAACGCAGCTTATACTGCGCATTCTAAACAATCGCCGATCTTTACAAACGCACAGTAAACACATCAGGATTTCGATTGCCCGTACAAAAAATGTGCAAAGCGGAAGTCCAGTACGAAGCTTGCACCACAAACTACGTGTTACTTGTACAGAGGTAACTGGTACAGCGGATATCTATGTATGGATAGCTCTCGCACTCGAAGAAATAGGCATAGCGAAACACTTAGCAGCGCACTGAATTAATTAGCCTGTGTAGCGTTTGAGAAACGTTTTAAATCTATACTGTTTTTTAAGGTAATAAGACCGGTGAAAGGAAGCGTATACGTATAGACATGCCATTTGGTTTTATTACAAATCCTGACAATTTTTTTGAGCATTACTTTTGTTATAAAGTGACCAATGCCTGGTTAGGCATTGGTTTCACCTGATGTTAAGTGATTATCGCCGCCAATGAACATCTACAATGCCTGTGGGGTTGCCGATACGTTACTCCAGTTTAGAGGCAAAAGAACAATACTTCCACACCTTGTCGGTCTTAAGCTTAGATCAGACTACGACACAAATGTCAGACATAAATTTCTTTATTGTTCACACATAACAGTGTCGGTATATAAAATATACGGAACTTCTGTCTGCACTATTCATACGCGAAAGAACTTAAAACGAAACACTTTAGTGCTCGGTTATTTGCTGCTTATATCGTAGTTAAACAACGAGGTAAGCGCAGAAGAAGTACATATTTAGGATCATCAAATGTTTAAAAAAAGATAAGAACTTGCGACTGTACCATGGACTACCAGGTGAGTTACGCGAAGAAGATTATAAATCGTACAAAAACTTTCGTCGAATGAAGTAAGAGGATTTCAAATACATATCCGCTGATTTGCCACTAATTGTCGTCGACAATTCGAGATACCAGTTTGTACACATAGACACTCGTTGTATACATTAACGGCCGGTTTCCATATTCTATCTACAGATAGTATTTTTTTTACTAGCGATAGTCATTTAACATTAACTCCATCATTCTTACGTCGAAATTCTATCTCCAGTAACCAAATCTATCTTTAGATTGAATATTGAAACCTGCCGTAAATGTATGATGAATAGCGTCTTAGTCTAAACTTACCTTTGATGTGAGGCGGTGGGAGTTCCCCGGACAAGGCTCTATTTTGGATGACAAGTTTAGCGGCATTTTCCATTTCAATTTTTTTTAATTTAATTACTTTGTTCAACATACGTTACCAATTTTACACCTTATTGCGAAATGTAGGTTTATTAGATTATTAGTAAATTTTGTAAGTGACATTTAATGTGAAAAATTTCATTTTATTAATAAATAATTCCGTGAAAATTTTAAACAGCTATTCACTTAAAAGATTCATGATAAGCAAAAGAAAGGTATGCCTAATTTAATTGAAGCATTCCATTCAATTAAAATTTTCTCTAAAAGCTACAGCACAAGGAGTTTAAAAAAACCTTGAATAATATTGAAATTCGGAGATCATGATTTTTGCTTTCCATTATGCAATCTATGTATAAAACGAACAAAATAAAATTCACTTATTTTATCTTATTGCTATCCAATGCTATAAAGGATGATATACTCCGTGAAAAAAGAAATATTATCGCGCGCACGGAGGCACATCGTTGTAAATCGATCTGTCGCCAACCGTTGGTTTTATTTTCCGTTAATATTTAAATGAGATTAAAGCACGATAAAATTTTCCCGCGTCGCTTCGAAACCTGAAGCGGCATCGGGAACACAATGCCCGCGGTCGGGCGAGAGAGAGTTGCACGTGAAGTCTTCCGGCCCATTAGCATTGAATGGCGGCGCGTGCGAGACCCGAGTATCATCGCAGCGGCCGCGATCAAACCGACCCTCAATCTATATCAATCCTCCGGAGCGCTATCCCGCATTGTTCTCTCTCGCCCGCGTCGTTTAAGTAATGACCATATTCAACACGGTGCAGTTGCATCTATAGAACGCTGAAAATAAACGTGTGGAAAATTCCAACGCGCTCCGACGTCGAACGGCTTTGTGTGGCGACGACTGCTCAAACCGTAACGGTGGGATGATACAAGTAAATGTACTCACCGGCAACTCGAGGTACTCCGCTATCGTGTACTTGGCGGCGCCCCTTCTGATGTCCGCTAGCGCCGTGAAGTGTTCGTCGCGCCGTGCCTTCCGTCGCAACAGCGCCCTAGCGTACGGATACGCCGACAGATACTCCCCGTAAGCGTCCAACAGCTCTCCCATAAACAGTTGCTTGAGCAAAATAGCACTCTCACTTATTTCACCTTGCGACGGCGGCGGAGGCAATTCCCGGCTTTTCAGCGACTCAGGGACGCTCTTAGGTGCGAAAGCAACTATGCCACTTGTCGACTCGCAAGACGTGTATGCACCGGTCGAGTCGCTCGATCCGCATTTAGAAAATGGAAATGCGGATGAGGTACAACTTTTGTCGCTGCTCGCGGAACTCTGACGAGTTGTAATCGATTTTTCGTCGTAGTCCGGGTATTGAGGTTCAGACTGGCTCTCAGTGGATGGAGATGACTCTACGGCCGCAGCGCTAATGTAAGAGGTATTCTTAATACAGTCATATAAATCTTCTATCGATTCATATGGTGTCATACTAGCACAAGATTCACCCTCGTCGCGTAGTATCTCATATATCTCGTCATTTCGCCGCCGAGCGGCAATGGGTGTTATCGCCGATTCAGATCGACTCCTCTTCACGCTACGGACTTGATCATAACCGAAGTCCGTGGGGTTGAGAAAGTCCCATCGCACATTTGCCCATACGTTCTCTGATGCATCAGCTGATATTCTATGATCAGTGCAACACTGTCTGCTGTTTCTTAATGTTACAGATGTTGAGCTATCATTTTCATTTTCAACCACGATACTATTAGCATCTTGATCTTTATTATCAACTGGAATGTCCACAAATATCTTACGAAGGCTAACGCCTACAGAAGACGCATTCGAACTGTTATCTGCGTCGTCTACTTTGCGATTGTCCTCGCCCTGTTCATTGCACTCAGAATTAGCAATTTCAGAATTGCAGTCGATATCCCTCTGCGTTAATACACCTTCATTTATAAGCTCCGTCAGAAGGCTTTTAGGCTCTTCCTCATCAACGCTTTCTTTTGTCTCCACCAAAGTGTCAATATCTTCTTTAAGTCTTTCACTTATCAGCAAGCCCGAATCGATGTATTTTCTCATTCGCTCAGCCAATGCCTCACTAGCTTCTGACACGGATTCCAGATAATAGAACAGTAAATGGTATTCTTCTCGCGTGATGACAGCTGCGCGCAATAATGGCTTGCCATACAGCTCCAAGGCTGAGAATAACGTTGAGGCTGCAATAAAAGAGAAATTATAGGTTATTACACATTATCTTCTGTCATGACTTTACTAGTCGTAATCATATGTTTCGATAATAATTGTATATATACATCTAACACTTACAGTGGAATAATAAATTGGCACAATAGACAAACTTGTGGGCGTTGGAAAGGTCAAATCGAATGTCAAATTATTCACCTTGTATTAATTTACATTACGTAAGCGGAATGGCCCAGACCTTTTATTTACCCTAAAATAATTTGCTCAATTTTTTTTTTCATTATAATACGACAGCAATGCAAAATCTTTAAAACTTTAATATACTAAAACGTGCAAAATGGAATCAAAAACGAAATTAAAATACCTTGACACTGCTCATTTTCTTATTTATATTTACGTACCTACAAAGTTCCATTGTTTATCTAATGCAATAATACAATAATACAATAATACAATAATACAAATCGTTGTCTGTAACTTAATCGCATAGAGTATAAGAGAGATCGTAATCTAGTTCGATGATGAATAGAGACGAAAATGCAAGAAGCCTCCTTCGTTCGTTCCTACCGGATCTATCTGTTTCAACTATAACAGATGGTCTGCTTCATTAATAGATCAGTTTTCTTTTTTTATTTTTCATTTAACCTTAGTAAAATTGTATTAGTGTTACACTGTTGGTGAACCTTTCAAAACATAAAATAAAAAAGTGTGTATGTACTTATGTACACACGTTAGAAGTTATATTTCTTTGGCGTAACACGATAAGTCTTTTCAAAAAATTTATCTTAAGCCTTATTCTAGGTTTGTAGAAAAAACGACACTAACAATAGAAAAAAATCTAGTTAAATAAAGTTTATTTAAATATCACAAAATAAATATCGTGAACACAGTTGTCAGTTCTCACGTAAACATACGTAGATGTCTAGCTAACTTCAGGGTGTCGGTTTTTGGTGTCGGTGTGCGCGCGCATGGTAAAAATTTACTCTCATCATTTTTCCCTAAGGCGCCAAAAGAAGAATAACTTCAAAAATAATAAATACATTGACATTGATGATATAACTAGTCATGCTTTTAATTAAGCTTAATTAATTTTACATAGGTATTAAACAGGCGTTTCCATTGAAAGAAGAATATAAACAAAATAGTGTTGATTAAGTTTCACGTTTATGTGGACCCAACTGTAAGCGCGTGCCAGGCAGAGTATTTAAATTTAAGCCTCCTGTGTTCAGAGGTCATAAGGACATAATCGGGTACGTGGCCCCTTCGCATATTCCAGATTGCGTACACTGATTATATCGCGACGTTTTCTTTTACTGCTCCTACATGTGGTGTGTTTTAAATTACAGTTACAGTTTCATTGATGCCAGTTGGATATGAACTCGGTATCCGAACATAAACCAACACAGGGCAATGACCGTTAAATCTTCGAAATTCTACATACAATATTCAAGCTTATTGCGCGTAACTTTATTGCTTTTAAAGCTGTTAACATAAACAAGAGAAACACCAGCCTTTGTTCCTTATAAACGGGACTTTTCTGGTAATCTCAAGATCATGAATTATCTCCATATAAATCCAGTGTTATATAATGTATGTCTGTGTTAATGTATTCATGTGTAATATCAGAAACGATTACTCTGTGCAAAGTTCGTGGACTTCACAGTGTGGGTACGCACTAGATCATAATCCCGCATGTCCTTTGAGCCCGTAGCAATTGCTAAACTACTCTCCCAATTCCAACGTCGGTATGTCAGTCACGGCGGCCGCGTTCGGTTTGCATACGAGTACGCTTCTGCGAAAGATTACCGACACAATGGCGTGCGTACGCGTTTCATTATTGCCAAAGCGCTTTCTACAAACAACGCTCATGTGCCTTCGGAATACTGAGTGCTACTCCGTCGACACCAGCGTTTGCCCACCAAGCGCCACGAAAGCCAAGCGTTTCCCCAACTAGCGCGTAAACGGTTTAATTCATGCGTTTTCTCATACATATTCAACTGATACGGAGTTATTGAAAGTATTATTGATTGTTGCGTACATCGTTCTTGAAGTGAAACCGTGCCGTTTGTTGCGTAACTATTCCCATAGTTTTACCTCGGCTCTGATGCGTAAAAAAAACAAGTGAACAAACAGTTAAAGCATTGTGCTGCGGTGCGTAAAAAAAGCTTTGAGTGCGAAACGAAATTCGCTAACCGTATATCTTTTCCCAGGCGAGGAAGGTCTCCAAATCTTTGCCATCCCACTGCGGCGGTTCGTTTTCCACGACGATGACCTCTCCCTCCAACGCGGTCGCTGAGGCCCTGGGGTCCACTGGCGCTTTGGAGCCGCCAAGGAAAAGCAGCGCCGCCGGGGGAGCGGACAGTGCCGAGGGAGGGGGCAGGGGTGCCGTCAAGGGCAACACTTGCGGCGGCGACAACGGGCCCGTTGGAAGCCCGGCCACGACAGCGCCCACTTCTTGGAGAGGCTCGCAAACTATTTCGGCCACCGTGCTATTACCCCACACCGTGACCTGCAAGTAAAAACGAAACATAAGCAAACTTCTGCCAGCGTTTAGCCTATGCGCCGTAAATTGAGAGCGCTAGAAAAATGTTTAAGAAGAGGCATGCTATATTATGCGCACATGTCTGTCTCTTGGACTGATGTTGAGATTCCTTATAAAAACCAAGAAAATCAATGAGCCAGACAGCCAGGCCTGTGATATTTCAAAGGCAGACCATTGAATATTTTACTACCATGGTGCCAGACACAGTCCTTAATGTTTTATGGTATATTTATCACTATTAATCTCGAGCCACATGTGCTGATCATATAGAAATAATGCTCAGCAACTCCCTAGATATTTGGTCGAATCTAACTCAAAGATCAGATAATGGTCCTAATAAAGAAAAAAGTTTTGGGCTTTGTTCTCAGCTAATATCTCTGTATTTGCAACAGTTTCATTTAATCAATCTAACTTAATAATTCATCATTAAAACATTAAAGAATTCAATATATAATCCTAACACTTATCAGTAATATTTAAGCAATATAGTGTACCTCTTCAATTTCCGAAAGAACTCACATATAGAAAGAGATAAGTCTAACATAATAGTCTTTCAAAACAACCCGGCGGCGTCTTACAACGGGCGACGGTTGACGGAGATGTTCGGTATTTTTTCTCCGAAACAGTAACCGTTACAATAGTTTAGCTACCTCGTAAACTCGATTACGTGTAAATACACAACCAGCGAGTGTATAAAACTTGTTCGAGCAATAACTCGGTGGAAACAAGTCAATTAGATATACGTTTAACAAACTAATATAGTAATGGTTAGGTTTACAGGCAGGTCAGTTAAGCTTTAAATATGCGAGGAATATTAATCGTGATTTAAGATATGTCTTCAATGTAACTTTTAATTAATAATAAAACATGTTAGGTACCGTATCATTTCAACAAAATTGTATTACCTAAGTACCTACCTACTACGAAATTATTGCAATCGCAAAATGTTATATTTCGAATTTGATAATATTAAGTTGACACATATGTATCGATATACGTTTAAAGGATATGATGATGTTGCTATAATAATATGTAAATGCACGAGTCTTGGAGGCCTTCACTGCTCGGGTTCATGAAGATTTTACGCGGCGGCCCTCGTGACGTCACGGCCGAGTTATGCGCACGCGCCCCTCCCCTCCCGCTACCCGCCGCGCCCAAAACCTCCTGCAGGATAATGCGCCTGATACATCCTCAACGAGGAAAAAATTAAAACAACAGCCGACGAACAAGAAGCATCGGCTTTACACAGCCAACGCGGTTTTATAACGCATCGCCAGAACTGGTTGAAATTTGTCTGAAATAATTTTTAACTGCCTTTAAAATTTATAATTACCGAGTAAATTTTTTGCAGAATGGTAAACAGTATGGGTCCCGCGTACGTGGATGTGAGACCTAATAAGTTTTTTTTTTAATTGCAAATATTTCACAATATAAAAGGAACAAACGTGACTCACATCACGGAACGCGTTTCGGTTTACGTCGAATAAAAAAAGATGTTGAATGTCTATGTTACCATATACGTTTTGCCATTATTAATTTGATACTACTCTGCGTAGGCTTTTTAAAGCAAACTAATAATATCACTATTAAAAGTTTGCATTTTTTTTAATAATGCTGGCTTTACGAAAATGTTATAAGGAAATTATTTTTTTTACTTATTCCTCTCTTACTTTCAGTCTACCAGACGTAGAGGTAGACTCCATTCTTATAGCTTTTTAATAATTTTGGTTTTATAAGTTTGTACGTCTTTTAAAAGCTTAATTTTAGCAATTCATATTTTCTCATTAAGCTTCGCAACAAAATGCATAATGAAGAAAAATATAAAATATAAGAAACCAAGAATAATAAATCGATTAAAAATATAATCTGTTAGGTTAGTACCACGGAGTCACTCAAATAAAAAAAACTTTACATTAAACCAAACGTAGTGGTTATATTCTCTTTGCATTAAACTTTAGACCTCGCACACAAAGGAGATGATTGACACGTGTTTAAGTTCGGGTTTTTAGTTTTTACATGAAAATATTTTACTTTGTTACGTATTATTAATTTGATACTTTTATGCGTAGAATTTTTAACTTGGCTTTTTTACTTGTTCTGAACTTCATTCATTGTATTTAATATACCTAACTATTTTATTTATTAAAGACAGAGTATTAACCACACATAATATTAGCAGTGTTATACGTCAGATTTAGAATAAGTTAATAACAAAAACCGGCCAAGTGCGAGTTGGACAAGCGCACGACGGGTTCCGTAACGATATCTATAAAAACGACAGAAAAATCATGTCTCTTGTATGGGAGCCCCACGTAAATACTTTTTTATAGCGGCAACAGACACACAGTCATCATCTGTGAAAATTTCAAGTGTCTAACTATAACAGTTTGTGAGATACAGCCTGGTGGCAGACGGACGGACAGACAGACAGCGGAGTCTTAATAATAAGGTTCCGTTTTACCCTTTGAGTAAGGAACCCTAAAAATAAAATTTAAATTTCAGGCCGGCATAATTATCTTGAATTCCACAAAATAAAATTTCATTCGTCACACAGTATGAAAATTTTATTTAGGTAACCTTTGGTGAAATATTTCAAAATTTAGAGTAGAAGCGCTAAGTCCAAATAAGTTCCCTTTCAGCCTAGAAATATAACTATACTTGCTATATATCTGGCTCAGCCCACTTTTTGTAACTTTATGTGATAGGCGAGCTTATTGCGAATTTTCAAAATGAATTTATACAAAAAATTAAAACCCCTTTGAGCAAGCCAGTGGCTTTTTTTATTATTTGTTTAATACTCGTAATCTCAGTCACATCATGCTTCAGCCACCAGTGCCTGAAAATTAGAAAATAAATTGTTCTACTAGATATCCTTACAATATTATAACCATAATATAGTTTTAATATATATAAATTCATATTTAATATAATAAATTAAAAAAAAATTGAATAATATTGTATACAAATCTGATTGAAGGTGTAAATTACTAGATTCACAGACAGTGCCATCTCATGGCCCTAGGTAGGTTAAATGAGAATATTTTTAAACGCCATCTAGCGACGACGTAAAACAAGAAATAACAGCGAAACAAAACCGCAACAGATTAACGTTACTGGCCTACAGATGGCGACTAACACATAGTTGCTTTCGTATTTAACTGAAAATTAACAAAAATTCTTGAATATTACATCAAAGACTTTTCTGACGATCATTAATATCATTATTTATTTAAATCCAAATTATTAATAATAATCACAAGTGTTTTCTAATAACAGAATTTTTTTAGGCGTGCCTTATTAAATCTCTCACTCTATACAGAGCGCTAGAGTCCATCAACCGCGAAAATAACCTGAACGGTATTGAGATTCAATATTCTGAACGAGGTCTTTTGAAGGAAAAGGATATATGTTTTTACATACGTGTTTTAACACCGTTATAATATTTAACGAGTCTTAAAATATAGGTAGTTTAAAATTTGAATCAGAATAATACTAAAGAAATTTCTTGTTTAACCTCAAATCTTATTCAGTTTTCCCTTTAAAAACATTTTGCAATTTAAGTGCAGCTATGAAAGAATAATTACACTAACATAAAACTTCTGTTCAAAATATGTCGTTTCATAATAATGTGTATAATAAATAAATTACACTTGTTAAATACACTTGCTTGGTTACACTTACGTACTTGGTTGGTTGCGAAGAGGTTTCTACAACCGCCCCTAATTACAGCTGTCCATTCACTGTAAAATTGTATCTTTGCTTAGGATGTTATTACATTCCATTCCACTTAATTTACATTCCAGGTAACTGAGTTAATTAACGAAAACAATCTTATGACTGTTGAATAAATATTGTAGCAATAACATTCTTAGCTCCAATGAGCGGGTAATTGTTAGACAAGCGCGCTTGTTGTTTAACAAATGCTAAAATTATAATAATTTGCCACTTAGAAAGTTCTTAGATACGTTAATGAATAAATTACACACTGTATTCGATGGTTGAATTGTGGATTCCTTCATATCATTCATATCATTTGTTGTGTCAAGGCATAAGTTTAAAAATCTCGTTTAGTTTATTGTACCTATAGTTTATTATTGTGTCTGACAGCTATTTCGAAAAGTGACAGTATCGGTGTCTCTTCGGACCTTCATTTCGCACCAGTGTCTAATCATACGTGCATTAAAACCATATAATATACGAACGATGAGTATAACATACTGAGTCTTAAAAACTTTGTATGGTTATAAAAAAGCTAGCTGATCTAGCAAACGTTCTTTATGGAATTTCGTAAAATCCGTTCTTAGCTGACCTCTACTCGGCGAAAGGGATATTGCTATCAAATTTCAAGTCTCTACGCCTTATGGTTCCAGAGATATCGTGATGAGTCAATTATCGGTGAAAATCTCTTATATATATATATATATATATATATATATATATATATAGAAGATCTCTTATATATATAGAAGATAAAAAAATAATGTTAAATATAATAATTAAGTAAATACCTATCCTTTCATGTATAAGGGCGATATTGATTTTCAGTATTTTTATTGTAATTTACGTAACTTTCTCCTCATCCACTTTTTGAAAAATGTGTCTTATCTAAATATATTTAAATAATAAAGGTGCGAAGTAATAAACAAATTTACTTAGGAATGCATTCTTATAGACACGAAAACAAACTATATTGTCCATCCTTCAAGAGAATTTCGGCGCAATTGTTTCCTGCATTGCGAAAATTCGCGGAATAATAATTATCGGTAGGTAGACATAATTATGTCGAAAGGTTAACGGTCAAAGAAAGCACGAGAGTGCCATCCGTCGACTTAAACTAGCATTTTTTCGGGTTACACAATACAAAAATGAGGCCGCGATGAGCGAATAAGCGGGTGAACGGCCGATTTTCGCGCCCGCTGAAAATTCGAATGACTTGCAAAGCTCATAACTTTGGAAAGAGACTGCCATTATCTTCGAAAAAAATTAAATGAGTATTAACAAGAGCGATAATGTTTTTATTGATATATTTTTTTATTCCTCTGAATAGGCATTAAAATACATTTATATATCAAATGTCAAATGTAACGGATTCTAAATCCGATATCCAAGTCATAAAATGATATAACGGACCATATAAACGAACATGAAAATCAACCTAACAGACAACAAAAATTTGATGTAATAGCATGCGTTTTATAACCTCAAATTTAATTCTTTCAACCGTGGGGTGATATAGGAACCCTATATTTACGTTTTTTATTTATTTTAGTATATATATAATTGGGTTAAACAAACATACTTTGGAATATTTTTACACCCAAAGTAAAAAAGCTAACGTATTACAATATGGTAACTAACAACGGTCGACATCCGATCTCTGAGATTATTTACTTTGTCGTTCATGTGACAGTGGAAACAGTCTCCTAAACACATGTGGACAGGTCGTTCTGTCGTACTGACTGACACACTTTCATTCGCTCGCAATGTTATTATTACATTTTATCAATACTAACACCCGGACACATGTTCGGGTTTCTCGTGAAACGTTTTATGATTTATCATCTAATTAGGGACGCGAAATTTAACAGTTTTCACTTTCTTTTTATAAGCTAATATTAGAACCATTTTTTTAATCGTTTAGATCGTTTAAAAAGGTAAAGTTCTTAGAATTAATAACTATATTTTTGTGCTATGAATAATAAACATATAGGTAATTATATAAATATAATTCATTATTTATTTTTCTGTAAATAATGTACCAGTTTACTTGGTAAACTATTTTTTTAAGTTACAATCTTTTACAAATTTCATTTTAGTAAACTGTGGTAACCATTTTGCAACCTCAATAAATGCTTATGTTAAAATAATAGGTAAATTATATTTGAAAAACATAACATGACATCTAAATAATGAACATAAAAAGTTTTTTACTTTTTACTTTCAGTCATAGGTTAAATGACAGCTTCACACGAAAAATGATAGTTGACCACCAAACAACAAGATCATGATCATGTTTATAGTGTTGATAGTTCATAGTTCATCATGATAGGCCAAGAAGGCTTAACAACTTTAAGCAAAACAAAAAAACAATAAACCTAGAGATCAATAAAACTCAACATGCAAATCGTATCATAAAAGTGATAAGCACCAAAACGGAACGTATAAGAAATTTATTAAAACACACCACATATGTACAATACAAAGGTATTAACATAAAGTATGTATATAACACATATTCTATAATTACATACATATAAACCATCTAAAAGAAAATAGATTTTCTTTAGAATTTCACCAGAACAGAACAGAAAAAAACTTATAAAAGCATAATAAATATTTTCATAATAAGCGCTAATTTCATTATGAAAATATGTTTGTAACGTTACCACAGTAGACGCTTAGCAATGGGCTCTATACTCCTGCCCAGTGATAGAACAAACTTTGATTATTGATAAATTACTCAATCGAAGCTCCGAATCGAACACCAGAATAAATATACAATTACTATATCTCGCTAGGCTCGGATATAAACCATGTTAACAAGTATTTCAATAAATACAAATAATTCGCACTTATGTACGTTTTGTCACACGCAAACAATAGGAAGCGGGCGGCTCGTGTTAAGGCCTCTCGCGATGTTTGCTGTTTGACTCAAGTTATCAGAGCATGCACCCAACAAAACATTGGGAGCCGGCACGTGCAG